TTTTTTTTTCAAGTCCTTATCTTTGCATATGTCCTCACTATTGACAGCAAGAAGCAGTGTGGATACCATTAGGTTTCCACTAATGTCTTCCAGTCATTTCTATATTTTTCCAAGTCAGAGGCTACAACTGGCTCCACAAGGAATCAAAATAGAGGTCACTGCAGCAGCAGTGACTTCCAAGCTGTTTGCTAAATTTAGCTGTCCAATACTTTCCACTCTAATGAGAACTGTGAACTGCAATTATAGAATGTTGGGACAGAATGGGAGCTTAAAGGTCATCCTATCCAACCCCCTCATTTTTCTGATGAAGGTATGTGGACCTAGATATAGCCTGTGACTTGCTTGAGGCCACAGGGCTTGTTGACAGTGGAGATGGAACTCGAGCTATGATCACCTTAGTCCCGGGGCAATGCAGTCCTGGCTACAGCACAGATGCTCTGCCTCCTATGATCAGTCTAACCTAACCAGATCTTACAGCATAAATACAGCTGGTATTACTGGTTCTGGCTTACCCTCTGTGGCCATTCATCTATTTGGTGGCTGAGTGTGAAACAGCAAAGGTGTTGGACTTATAAGTTGCTACAAGAGAAATGAAATGAGTCCATCCCCAAACCCAACCCCCAACTCTAAAATCTTCCTGCTGAGGTTCATCAATAATGAATGGCCCATCCCTGCAATACTCAGAGGGAGCTTACATTGCACTTTGGAGCAGCCGGTTAGTAATATACAGTGGATAGAGCCCTTCTTTCAAATCCCAGGGCAGTGGGTCCTTCAAGGCTAGCATAGCATTTTCAATTAGCTGCTGAGTGAATGCTTGGCATGTGTATTCGTGAAGAGGCACAGAATTAGCTTATTGTTCCTTTCTGTATTGTGCTGAGAGGATCCAAGGGATTGGTGGGGAGACAGGCAAGCCAGGCATCACTGTGGATGTTGAGGAAGGGAGTCACTCAGACTTCAGCATCTTCATTCACTTGCTCGCTCTGGAATTAGAGCTATTTATTACGAAGCACTTTGTGGGCTTGGTGGAGTGTGCCTGAGGAAAAACATCCCGGACAGCACTTGGGTTAAATCTTTCCAAGCTCCTCACATCTCTGACTAATTCTCATCATTATCATGGAGCCCAACAGTCCCAAAAAGATACAATTTGCGGTGCCTTTATTCCAGAGTCAGATTGCACCTGAAGCAGCAGAGCAGGTAAGGAGAACTGGGTGGGGAACAATTCCTGCACATAAGGTAACACAAACCTACATTCTTGTTATCAATTCAAAGGTTCTCTACCTCTTGAATTTGCCTTTGTGATTTTCAGGATATGTGAATGAGAAATAAGTTGGTTTCCATATGCACTTGTATTGGAGATGCAGTGGGGGGAACTATCGGCTAAAATGCAGCAATTTGTTTGATACAAAATTAACACTCATTGGAGAAAAATGGTGATATTAAAAATTTGTATTTGGGTCCATAAATTTGTTTGCTTTTGCTTGTTGAAATAACATGTTCACCATGTAGAGCACCTTTAAAAATATTCTCAAAATTAGCAACATTTTATTTCATTCTTTATGAAGTAAAAAGATTGATTTAACAATGAAAGCATTAAATCCTGGAATAATTTCAGATTATAGGTCTAATATTTTACTTTAATATGTTTTTCATTGTGGATCCAGAGCAGTAATTATAAGTATATGTAACATAGGATAGATAGGATTTGTGGGTATATGTATAATTTTAAAACATTTTATTCAGATGTTACAAAAAGTATTTTAACATTTCCTGGTTTCTTTTTCTGTGTCTAATATTGGTTTACATCTGTATCACTTTTCATATTCAGATTTACTTAGACTCTTGGTGCAATGAGACCACATAAAAGATTCCTTGTAAAACTACAACTGTGGGAGGCAAAAGCAAAGGGACTTATGGAGACATCCATCTAATTCCTTAATTTCTTAAATCCTAAATTATTCCCGAATCCTTTTCCAAATATTTGATACAAGGTCTTAAACGTAATTATTGAATCTGAGGCTCATAACTTTCTAGGATGTGTTTTGGCAATTTGAAGAAGATCCACCCAGACTCAGGCCAGATAAATACCACCTTGAACATGTATTTACACTGAATGGGGCACTGCTTATATCTTAGACAAGATTTCATTACTAAATATTACTCTCTATCCTACTGGCACATACTTTGAGAATTTATCTGTGAATGAATATATTAAAGAAATAAAAGATATGAAATCAAGAGATTGTAATCATAATATGCTCCTGCAGCTCTTAAGACAAGAAAAATAAAAACCAAATCTCTTAGTTTTACATGAATTACATATTCTCATAAGATCTGTATTCATCCTTTATTTGCTGATCTGTTCTAAATACTATACTAGAAAATAAAAAAGCTAACAATATTAATTGAAATTTAAAACTCATGCTGCTAATTAAACTGTGGCACCTGCTAGAAATTTGAGGTTTCCAAACTCTTCTTACCCCATTTAGAAATAAGGGTAATCGGG